TATGCAATCTTCTTATCACGGTTTTGTAGATGCTGTAATATTCCAGTTATTAGATGTTTGTTTCCAATATCATAATAAACACACTTGTTTCCAATTAATGTTTGAAGCTCATCTATTAGAGGTTATGAGTAGACATCAATTTTTTTCTTGGGGCTATGTGGACCTGGTATGATCCATGTCAGAAATAAAAAAGGCGTGATCATGCACATATTAGTAGGCAAGATATGGTGTAATAATTACTGACCAAAACGAGCACAATGTCAAGCTTTCTTATCTGATGGATGGCTCGAAGAGTTCATATCTAGAAATTTGTTCTTGTATCATGCCATGTGAGTAGTTGTATGCATAGAAGCCAATATTCTCTGAAGCTGGGGGATGAGGAGAATGTATAAAAGTGATACTTGTATGAAATATGTTTCTTATTTCTTCTTTTTCAACCTCTTGGTTAGAATCCTTTAACACCAGAAAATCTGCATTTAGTTTTCATTTCATTTGTTTTATAATATAATATGTAATCATTAAAACAATAGTTAATCTCATGTATAGTAATATTAACTTCGAAACCAATTTAGTTGTTCTATAGAGGTCTTCTGAAACTAAATTTACTTTATAGTGTATTTCTAGTAACACTACATTTTGATTAAAGCATTATCTGGGTATATTGCAAATTTGTAATGCTCAACATTCTCAGTGTTGTTGAGAACTCTGGATGCGTGTGCAACTTTTCTGTTGAAGCTATTACGTGAAATTCAATAAATCATAGAATTTTTACGCTTCATTATTCAATATTTGATCATCTTCATGAACTCTCTCAACAAAGTGGCCTTTGCTTGCATCAAAATTCATATATGTTAAGATTGTTTTCCGTTGGAGGGATAGAACTTACTGATACACTAACATAATCATATTGAACATTTGATTTAACTTCATTATGCTCACCATGTGCAGTCTAATACCAATAGTTAGGTTGGAAACAGAATCAAAACTTGATTTTTATTAGATATACTTGATTTTTGTTCTGTGCTCACCATGTGCAGTCCCGACAAGTGGTTTGTCATTGTGGCCTGCAAACCACACTTTTGACCTCACGGCAAGCACATAGCTATGGTAGGAAGTTTTATACATGCCCCCGAA